TATATTAGGGCAGGGCTTCTTAATCTCCTAGGTGGGAAATCTGGCATCTCTTTTCTAAGAAGAACTTCCACTACTTCCAACAGATTCTCCAAGAGGCATAAGCCCCCAAACCATGAACAGTGACTGAACATACACACACACGCAGGCACACACACACACACACACGGACAGCAGTGTCTCATTTTTTAAAGAATTGCCAGTTCTTTTCTCATAAGCCCTCCCCAGTATTTTAATTTAGAAATGCTGCTTTTCAAGTCCAGAGATGTTCTTTGCTGGTCACCCTGGTTTCCTGCTTCAACAGTGCTTGGAGGAAACCCTACCCACCCACAATAGCCATCTGTGAGCAGCACCTTCAGACCATCATAAAGCCCAACCCCACACACAGGCACTGCCTACTATAGACACAGGATCCCCGCTGTGGGTGCCCCAGCCATCACTGAGAGTCAGAGACCTACAACCACCACCACATGAACCTGGGGCTCTATGCCTCCTACAGCTCCTGGCCTTCATTTTAGTTTGACTGTGATAACGCAGCTGTGAAGAGCTTTGCCAAATTCTTCACCAGTCTCCCAAGGACAAGGAAATTCTGAGAACTGATGAAGCTACAGAACCAAGGAGGTGGCTGGATCTTCCTAAATGGCACCAAGGAACCAGATGATAATGGCTGGGAGAGTGGGCTGAATGCCGCAGAAGACTATGACACCTGGGAAAAAGAGTCAGCCACAACTAGAACTGCATAAACTAGCCAACAGACCATAACCCGCACTTGCATGACTGCATTGAGATGCATTACCTGAACGAGCAGGTGAAATCCACCAAAGAACAGGGTGACCATGTCACCAAGGTGTGCAAGATAGGAACCTCCAAATCCGGCATGGCCGAGTATCTCTGACAAGCGTACTCCGTGACACAGCCCTCAGGAGAACTAAGCCTGAGACGGATGAGCCCACAGCCACAAGGTGACTCTGGTCACCAAGGCAGTACATGCAAGTTGGGGTTACCTTTTGCATAAATTGCACCAAAATATCTGCTTAAGTCATTTATTTGCACAATTCCTTCAACTAAAGAAAATGGGTACCCTCCCTATCCCCCCAAAATGTATTTTGTTTCTTACCACAAATCTTTCCACTCTTCTTCAAGTTCATCTATGGTTACCTTTTACTTTAATGAATCATATAAATTATCATGCCCCTATAAAATAATCATCAACTAAAGCAGGTTACCCACATACCCTACCATTTGGGATTGATTTCCTCCAGCCGGTTTACACTGTGTGGCTTCCAAAGGAATCAGGATGGGTCGTGGAGGAAAAAAATCACTTTTACAAGACTGACACCCCCAGACCGTGTTAGATAATAAACAGAACTGATGACAGCACGTTTTCCTGGAGAATAAAGGTCCTGATAATCTGTTTCTCCAACTCACTCAGCTTACTGTGGAAGGTTGAAGCAGAAAGCAGAACACAGATTCAAAAGCTCAATGAGGCAGCCTATGGGCAAAGTAAACGTCTCATCTGCAAGCCCCTAATCTCTGTCAGAGGTTAAGCCCCCAGACAACCACGATGTTTCCGAGAACGCGGCCTCTGCAAGGTCAGCTCATCTCCGTTCAAGTTGGCTGCACCTCCCCTGCATCCTTCTTCTCCCCTCCTGGACTCTGGCTGGCTTTCCCAGTTTTCAGTCTTCTGCAGCGATTCCGGTAAACGGCGGTGCTTATCAACCAGCCTCCTTATCCTTGGGGGCATATTAAATATCAGTTGAAAACACGGCAGTGTTGGACAAGCAATAATTTAGTTTTACAATAATTTCTAATGATGAGAGCAAGTTGATTTCCACTTGCTGCAGTCGTAGATGAAGAGGAAAAACTGAGATGAGCTCACCAGCGCTCACTTGATTTTCAACAACCAGAGAACAGAATGTGACCTGGGAGCCACGTAGTCCAAAGGATACAAAAGGAGACTCAGGCCAGTGCAGCCCTTGTGCTGAGTTTTGTCATGAAACGGTTCTGCCCAAGATCTTCTCTCCCGATGTTTTCTCCAAGGTGACTTTGCCCGCTCCAGCTATCACTAACCAGAGATCTCCAGGGACAGAGCGGGTTGAAGGAGACTCAAACGGTGATCAAGTGGGGACTGCAGTTGGAACCTTCCATGGTAGCAACCAAGAAGGTAGCTCTTGGCTGCTTGTGCACCTTCACCAGGTCTTTGAACACGTGTGAGGTTAATGGACTCTCTTCTTGTCAGGCCTGGCTGTGCAGCTGCTACCGGAAGAGGCCATGTATAGGCCATAATCTTTGGGCATTTGTCAAGAAGGTCAAACAACCAAAAGGCACCAACCGTATGCTAAATCCTCTGTCCTCCGTTCTCCACTGTGTGGCCACCGGAGTTTGACAGTACTCGGCTCACGGTCCTGGAGGAAAGTTCTATTTCCTCACTCACTCATTCATACACTTAGCAGTACCTGAACCTGGCACTGGTATCTAGCAACACATAAGACAGAACCTTCATTCTAGCTGGGAAGAAAGGAAGTAAATGAATAAACAAGGTGATTTACACATTGTGGTAACACCATGAAGAAACTAGTGTGAAGAACAAACTGGTGGTAGTTACTTTAGATTAGGAAGTGCTCAACCTCTCTATAAGAAAAAAAAAAAAATGAAAGACTTAAAAAGTGTAGATTGACGTGTGAGATGGAGAGTCCTGACTTATTTGTCATTTGGTGAAGCCCTTGCCCTGCCCTGAGGGAAGGCTTCTCTAGCACTGGTGGGTGGTGGAACACATTTTTCTCCTCAATTCTCCAAGGAAGACCGATCTCTGGGTCCAACTAATGGAAGGGAAGTTTCTCTGTGAAGCCTCTGTTTAAAGAATTCTTCTGACTGAAAGTTCTCATATCACACTGGTATTATTAACCGGCATCCTTAGGAATTTTCCAAGAATCATAAACCTGATAAATAGAATAATGGGAACATTATCTGTATCTAAGCGGACTTGCTAAAGCTGTCTGCTGTATTAATTTTGCATTAAGATGTGAGTATTTACTAACACTTAAATTGGTTAGGTTATGTCATGAGTTATTTTAAATGTGTAAATTGGAGTCATTCATATTAAAGAACGTGTGCTTTCTTTTTTTAACAATAATTCTGTTCTCTAAAGATGCTATAGGAAAAAGACAACTTTCAAAATCCTAAGAAGCATTTATCTATTTGGAAAAAAAATTTTATGTTTCAAAATAATTTTGTGACTTAAGTAGCTTCAAAATATTTTATCCTCAAATGCCCCAAATGATCTCAAAGTAGATTAATGTGCTCCTGAAACCTGTTCTGTGAAAGATATACGATACGCTGTTATCTGCCTAAGTCGCTCACATCGCCAAAAACAGGGTCGTCAGGTAAAATATAGGACATCATTTACATTCTAGTTTCAGATAAACAGCAGATAACTTTCTTAAAAATATTGCTATTTGCGGCCAGCACCGCGGCTCACTAGGCTAATCCTCCGCCTTGCGGCGCCAGCACACGGTGTACTAGTCCCGGTTGGGGCGCCAGGTTCTGTCCTGGTTGCCCCTCTTCCAGGCCAGCTCTCTGCTGTGGCCAGGGAGTGCAGTGGAGGATGGCCCAAGTCCTTGGGCCCTGCACCCCATGGGAGACCAGGAGAAGTACCTCGCTCCTGCCATTGGATCAGCGCGGTGCGCCGGCTGCAGCGCGCAGGCCATGGTGGCCATTGGAGGGTGAACCAACGGCAAAGGAAGACCTTTCTCTCTGTCTCTCTCTCTCTCACTGTCCACTCTGCCTGTCCAAAAAAAAAAAAAAAATGCTATTTGCAGGGCAGACAGTTTAGACACATATTGGAACACCCACATCCCATATCAGAATGCTTGGGTTTGAGTCCCACCTGACTTTCAGTCCCGCTTTTCTGCACCCTAGGAGGCTATAGATGCTGGCTCGAATGCTTGGGTCCCTGCCTCTCCCAAGGGAGATCTGGAAGGAGTTCTAGGCACCTGGCTTTGGAGGGGGAACTCGTGAAAGGAAGATCTGTCTTTGTCTCCCTCTCTTTGTGTTGCTTTGCCTTCTAAATAAATAAAACTTTTTTAAAAATTGAAATGATTTATTTATTTACTAGACACAGGGAGTGACATAAACAGTTATAGAGAGAGCTCCAAACCATTGGTTCAACCCCCAAATGCCCACATTGGCTGGCACTGGGCCGAAGCTTGGCCAGGAACCAGGAACTCAACTCAGATTTCCCCGCTTGAGTGACAACTTAATTACTTGAGCCATCACTGCTCCTTCCCAGGGTCTGCACTGGCAAGAAGCTGGGGTCAGAAGCCATAGTCAGGAATCAAACCCAGGCACTCTGGAACACAAGAATCTTAAACACTAGGCTAAAGACCTGCTCCCAGGTAACATTTGAATAAAAGAATGTTTTGAAAACTCCATGGAGAATACTTATGCTTTAAAAAATTCACTATTTATCTGAAATTCAGATTTAACTGGCATCCTGTATTTTTGATTTGCTAAATCCAGCAATCCTACCCAAAGAAAAGATCTGAATCTCTGGCAGTCTTCATTACCAGTCGGCACCTTCATCACCTCTATTCCATTCCGCATTTAAGCCCCAGCTTCCAAAGTAAATGGAAATATTTAGAAACAAAATTTAAATCAGCCAGTACTGAAATGACTTGAAAAACACATTTTCATTGGCCAGGAAAACAGAAAATTTATGCAACATCTATGTAATTAAAATATGCAAACTAGATCATAAACATGCTCATTTTTCAAAGACTTCTGCCATAATTAATATGTATAAATTCTGTACCTCTGTAATGTAGAATAGCTTGAGTGCTTAAACTAGAATAAGGTTAAGTATCTTTCAAATTCTTAAAAGCCAGTTAATAGGCTAGGGGTACCATTGTGTTTTTGTATTTATACTAATTCAGTGTGATTGCCTAAACTCATCTAATTCATTCTCTTTCTCTCATCTCTCCCTCCCTCCCTCTCTCTCTCTCTAGTTACCTAAACAAGAATAAATATCTTACAGTTATTGACAAAGATGCATTTGGAGGTGTGGACAGTGGACCAACCTTGCTGTAAGACCTACAAAAGGACATTTTAGTGTTTTTTTTTTCTTCATCTTTTAGTTTTTTGGAATAGAAGGAGACATTCAGAGGAAAAGCTGATGTTTGTGGGTGGGGAATGTCATTGCTGCGGGCACAGTTTCTACTAGTATTTCCTGCCATCTGACTATGCTGGTTACTTCCGGAAAGTTCTGTTCTTTGAGACTCAGCAGGTTCCAAGCTCCAGCATGCCATCTGATGCCTAATCAGGCAACCACCTTGGTGTGGGCATTCACAGAGCCCTGTTCATAGAGTAGGTGCCATATGCAATGTTCTAAGATATGAGGTGTACAGATAGGTGGACAGTGATCTAGACTTTGCAGAGAAAATATGAGAATCTGCACTGCCCAGTGCAATATAAATTATGGTTTGATTCACATCTGTAAGACTTTACAGTCACTGGGGAAGGTGGGGTGTTAACTTTGAAAAAGCAATGTGAAAAGCCTACTTATTTGTGCTTTTCTTTGAATTTACATTCCTATATCCTATGACGATCAAACTTCTTTATCATCACCATCTTCATTCTATTGTTAAACCTCATCATCAAGCATACAGTCTAAGTGGAACACAGCATGCCAGAGATGCGCAAGACAACTCATCAAGGACAATAAGAAATAGTAGGGGCCCTATTTATATGTATATATTTAAAATAAGAATAAATTCAGCTTTGTGAACATTTGATATTCAGATGACTCCTGACCCTCAAGTGTCAGGTAGGGAAAGGAAGTATCCTGAGAGAAGAGTGGATGAACCAGTGTCCCAAAGATTTGACAACTTCATGTTCTTGCCTTTAACAATTTCATTTTACTTTTAGGTTAAATTCAGCCAGGTAAGTGGGTTTATAACCCTATTCTCTTAATATATAGGCTGCAGGTAAGAAGTCAGAATGACCTTGAAAATTGCAGTTCTGTGTAGGGATTCACTGTTAACTCATGACAAAAATACTCAGAAGCATTTTGTATTTTTTGTTGTTATAAAAACCAAATGAAAAATATATGTTAACCTTTCCCATGAGAAGTCTTTGTTGGTACTTTTCTTAACCTGGAAGACATCATTTTCTGTTTCTTCAACATAAACATGATATTTCACCAAAGAGTGAGGAACTAAATTGCTTTTCTTAAGTAATTTATTCTCTGGGAAGTCTTCAGAAACAGATATTTGGAAACATCCCCATGTTGCATGATCTTCCTGATAAAATAGTGAATACCAAAACAGCCTGGTGCTGGCACAAAAACTTATACATGGATTAGTGGAACACAGTAAAGAACATAGTGGCTCTATGGGTTAAGCCACCATCTGCAATGCAGGCTTCTCATAGGAATGCCAGTTCAAGTCCTGGCTGCTCCACTTCCAGTCCAGCTCCCTAATAATGCACCTGGAAAAGCAGTAGAAAATTGCCCAAGTACTGGGCCCCTGCCACCCACCTGGGAGATCTAGATGGAGTTCCAGGCTCCTGGCTTCAGTCTGACCCAGACCTGGATATTATGATCATTTGGGAAGTGAACCAGGGGATAGAACATCTCTCTTCTTCTCTCCCTATTTCTTCCTCCCTCTCTCTCTCTCTTTCTAACTCAGCCTTTCAAACAGATGAAATAAATCATTTTTAAAAGTATCCAGAAATTAATCCATTTACATACAGTCTACTGATGTTTGACAAAGGTGCCAAGAACATACATTGCAGAAAGGATAGTCTTTTTTTTTAATGTCAACTCTTTTTAATTTTAGTAATTAAAAAAGGCTACATTAATTTATATAATTTTCACTATAAATACTTTTATCTATGATCTTGTATTTTCATTCTTTTTTACTAGAAGAAAAATTACAAAAGTAAGAAAAAAACTCCCCTTGTGTCACACAGTTTCAAGCCTGGTCCATTGTCCTCCTCACCAGAGGAAATCAAGACTGGGATTTTGTTCTGTGTATCTCCAGTTCATTTTTTTTTATCTTTTATTTAATGAATATAAATTTCCAAAGTGCGACTTATGGATTACAATGGTTTCCCCCCCATACCGTCCCTCCCACCCACAACCCTCCCCTTTCCCACTCCCTCTCCCCTTCCATTCACATCAAGATTCATTTTCAATTATCTTAATATACAGAAGATCAGCTTAGTATACTTAAGTAAGGATTTCAACAGTTTGCTCCCACACAGAAACATAAAGTGAAAAATAATAGATGATTTTTTTAAAATGATGATGAAATCAGATCAGACCTATTGTCATGTTTAATCCCAGTGAGAGTCAAGTTGGGAATTGATAATTTCTTTTTTTTTTTCTTTTCTTTTTTTTTTTTTACAGAAGATCAGTTTAGTATACATTAAGTAAGAATTTCAACAGTTTGCACCCCCATAGAAACACAAAGTGAAATATACTGTTTGAGTACTCGTTATAGCATTAAGCCTCAATGTACAGCATATTAAGGACAGAGATCCTACATGAGGAGTAAGTGCACAGTGACTCCTGTTGTTGACTTTACAAATTGACACTCCTGTGTATGGCATCAGTAATCTCCCTATGCACCAGTCATGAGTTTCCAAGGCTATGGAAGCCCCTTGAGTTCTCCGACTCTTATCTTGTTTAGACAAGGTCATAGTCAAAGTGGAGGTTCTCTCCTCCCTTCAGAGAAAGGTACCTCCTACTTTGAAGACCTGTTCTTTCCACTGGGATCTCACTCACAGAGATCTTTTTGCCAGAGTGTCTTGACTTTCCATGCCTGAAATACTCTCATGGGCTTTTCAGCCAGATCCGAGTGCCTTTAGGGCTGATTCTGAGGCCAGAGTGCTATTTAGGACATCTGCCATTCTATGAGTCTGCTGAGTATCTCGCTTCCCATGTTGGATCACTCTCCCCTTTATTTATTCTATCGGTTAGTGTTAGCAGGTACTAGACTTGTTTATGTGCTCCCTTTGACTCTTAGTCCAGAAAGGATAGTCTTTACAAAACTGGACACACATATGTAGAAGACAAGTTAGATCCCTACTTCTATACACAGAAATCAGCTCAAGACAGATTAATCAAATAAAGAAATAAACCTTAAAAAGAAGAAGAAACTGAAATAGACCTCCCAAATTTTGTAGTTGTCCTAATCTAATAGCATAAAATTAGCTTTTTGCTTCAAGTAACATATACTTACAATTCCTTAATACTCTTAATTGGCAACATATAAGACACATACTGGCTTCCAGAAATTTCAGTTTTTTCCTAACATGTTTAATGGACTACACTGTGATATTTCAATGCATGTATACACTGTGTACTAATTAAAATATGGTAATAACCACTTCTTCTTTGACATTACTTTATCACGGGAGGTTTGGAACGTCTCTCTCCTATTTGTTCATACAATGTATACGAGGTTATTGTGAACCACTCCAGGTGGCGCTAGGAACTTACTCTTCCAATCTGACTCCCGTTATCCAAACTCTATTCCCTCCTCTCCCTCCCCCACCCAGCCTCCATTCTGTGTTCAGATTGAGTTTCTTTTCCTGTCCCTTTGTTAGCTCCCACATATGAGGGAGAACATGCAGTGTTTGTCTTTATGTAGCTGACTTACTTCACTTAACATTGGTGTCCTCAAATTCCATCCATTTTGTTGCAATGACAAGATTTCATCCTTCTTTATGGTTGAATAGTATTCCATCATGTGTATATATACCATGTTTTCTTTATTCACAGTGAGAGAGAAAGAGAAAGGTCTTCCATCCACAACAGCCAGAGCTGCACCGATCCGAAGACAGCAGCCAGGTCTTCTGGGTCGCCCATGCAGGTCCCAAGCACTTGGACCATCTTCTACTGCTTTCCCAGGCCAAAGCAGAAAGCTAGACTGGAAGAGGAGCAGCCAGGATATGAAGTGGTACCCATATGGGATTATGGCACCACAGGCAGAGGATTAACCTACTGCACTACATTGCTGGCCCCCCTATTTCAATTTCAATGAAATCCAAAAGCTATTTGTGATAAACGTAAAATGAGTTGGTTTTTACATATATTCAATATAGTCCATTTCAAGCAAGTTTCACTAGACAGGATATGACATTAAATCTCCATTTAATTAAATGTAAAAGCAATTCAAATTCAATTCTTAATTATATCTTCAGAAATTAAGCCTTTTTATGTCATGCCATGTGTCAACAAGTCAGTAATTATCCTTAAAATATTATTGTGAATAAGTTCTACTGTTCTTTAGCACATTTGGATACCTGTAGTTTACAAAAATTATTATATGTATTATAAAAAAAGAGAAGTTCAAAGCTTTTCAACACAAATGATAAATGTTGAAGGAGATGGAAATAATAATCACCTTGATTAGATCAGGAAACATTATATGCATTTGTTGAATTAATAACACTGCAGCTGATAAATATGTATAATTATGTGCCAACTAAAATTTCAAAATTAAAAAGTGAAATTTCTAAAATGCCGAGTGCCATAAAATTGTTTTGTTAAAATCAGAAATAGACTCTTAGCCTGCTCTTAAGATTTTCTTTTGTTATGCACTGCATTGCATCCCCAAAATTCAAACAATGAATGTAACTGTATTTGGAGATGGGGTCTTTAAGGAGGTAATTAAGTTGCAATGAGGCCATTGGCATAAGCCCTAACCTAACCTGACTGGTGTGTTTGTAAGAGGAGGACATACAGATGGAGAGTTGCACACTATGTAAGGGCACGAGCAGATGGCTGTCTGCAAGCCAAGGAGAGAGGCCTCTGGAGAAACCAAACCTGCTTATGTCCTCAACTTGGGCTGCATCTTCCAGAACTCTAACACATTTTTTATTGTTTAAATCTCCCAGTCTGGTACTTTGTTACAGCAACCTTAGTAAAATTACAGTATTACATGTATAGGGGCCGGAGCTGTGGCGCAGTAGGTTAATCCCCTGCCTGCGGCGCCTACATCCCCTGCATCCCATGTGGGCGCTGGTTCTAGTCCTGGCTGCTCCTCTTCCAGTCCAGCTCTCTGCTGCGGCCTGGGAA